GCAGCAGCAACATCAGCAGCAGCAGCATCAACAGCCACATCAGTCGCTTCCGATGGCTGACGGAGACCACCAGCAACGAAGTGTTCGCCAAAATCGCCTTTTGATAGCCACTTATTTTTGTAGTTTTTGGAATCATAACAATATAAAGTTCCCACTTAACGTGACCCTCTGCCAAACGTGGATAATGCAATTAATGTGCGGTTGTTAAAATATCCTTTTGCTTTTTATACTTAATGTCGAAAAGTAATAACGTTAAAAGTCTGACTCTTCCTCCGTCGCTCCTCTATCCAATGCTCAATAAATTGTATATGAGTTCGGAGGAATTTACATTTCTGCCGCGGTAAGTTGAAGCGCCGGGATAAGTGAGTCCGTGTTTTTGTTGTTGTTATTGCGATGCCAAAAGCAAATTTGATGTGACAGGATGCTAATGGAATGCAAATGGCATTACACTGCGATATGGTTGATATATACAACTGCCGGAAGAGTTTGTGCGGAAATTACCAGCGAGAGACAGTTTGAAGTTGGTTTTCTCGTAAAGTTTTTCAGTAATTTTTAAGAGGGGAAATTAATATTAAGGAAATTAAAAACGATAGAGTTTGCAGTTGATTTTTTCGGGAAATTTATTCAGTAATTCTTAAGAAGAATTAATATTAAGGAAATTACAAGATAGAGTCAGTTTGAAGTCTTTTTTCTCATGAAGTTTTTAAGAAATTTTTAAGGGGAAAATTAATATTAAGTCTTGTCAATATGTTGGCTTTATTGTTAGGGGTGTTAATGAGCTTTAGAGATCGTAAATAAGTTTGGATATAAGGATAAAATTAATAATCTTAAAAGTTTTTAAATATAATCCTTTAGTTTTCGAAGGAAATATCTATGAATAGAGGGGGGGTCTTGTAGCTTTTAATAGTAATTTTAATTATTTATATATAATTATCAAGTTTACCTATTAAAAATAATAATAAGAATGTGATAATGGAATAAAAAGAGGGCTTATCTTGTTATTATTTATTGCTGTACTGCTTAACTGCCTAAACAAACGAACTTCCATATCTTAAACTATCTCTCTTCATAATATTTATTTAAAAACACTTCAAAACTCCTTACAAAATACTTAATCAAATGATATTCCAACCAACTTATTTACCTCACTAAAAATATGAAAACTAAAAAGACTTGTCTCTTTACCACAAGGGAAAAACTTGGGTAAATTCTTTGAAAAAGTAATCATAAAGAGTGGCAAAGTTTCTGCCACAGTAGCCTTCGAGTGTTGTTGGTTGCCTCTCAAGTGGTCCCACTGTAGCAATTGTGCCACCCACCACACTATCAAGCTGTAGTTAACTGATAGATTTGACACCCTGACAATCTACTTTGCATGATTCTTCCAGCACATGTCACGGAGGCGTCGTCGTAGTCTGTGCGAAAAGTTTTGTCATCACAAGTCCGTCCTTCTGCTTGGATTTCCCCTCCCCCCAACATTGGTCCCACGAGCTGTGCATATTCATGAGGGAATGATTATTCCTACCCATTCCGCACTTTGCATTCGGATTTCCATTCCCATTCCCCATAACATTCCTCGAATGTTCTTCTACCATTGACTTTGCTTATCGCGCATTGAACTCTACTGTGACCTGGAGGCACTCACACATTGTCTGCGAAACACGTACGGACACTGGAGGTCAAGAATACAGGATTTAAATGGGTTTTAACATAACTCTAATGATGAACAGGAAATATTGAGAAATATTGCTTAACCCTTTTTCACAATAATGGAAGAAATTAAATTAAATATATTTATTTTTTTATAAGAAGATGTTCTTATATTCCATTTAATAATTAAATGTAATAAGCAAAATGTCAGTTTAATTAAAATTTAAAAAATTCCCAACCAATATTCAGTTTAATCTAAAAATATATTCATTTAAAACTCTATATTAAATGAATATAATAATAATAATAATAAATAACCAAGAAAAACAAAAGGGAAACCCATATAATAATAAATACTCAAACAAAGGCAACTCTTTGGGGAAGCGTGATTTAAGCATAGCTATTATTTTGAGCTCAAATGTAATCTATACATGCTTAAATCTGCATTGCATGCTTTGCATTCATTCTTCTGCTGGCTGGGTTTGTTGGTTCTTTTTTTTATACGTTTTCCGTTTACCATTTCTCCTTTTATTTTTACCTGTTTTTTTCCTGCCATTCAGGTGGTGGCGCGGTGCCCCTTTGGGCCTTATTTATCTAGCCCGGTCTTTTATGTTTTTGGTTGTGCATACATACACATACCTTACCCCCACTACTTAATTTAAATCAGCTCTTTTAGTTTTCTTTATTTTTCCCCGCGAATCTCTGTTGAAGTTTTTCCCCGCCTTCTGTGTTGAATTGTAAGCGAAAAGCGTTGTCTACTTTTTTGGGCAAGGGGGAATCCCCTAACAAATGGCTTTCTAAAATGTTGCCCAATCAAGCGCAAGCGAATTTTTGACTTTTATGGGTTTTCTCTAATTGTTATGCAAACTGCTGCTGCTGCTGCTGTTGACTGGAGTCACAGCCGCCGCTATTGCCGCCGCTGCCAAGATATCCGAAAGCCCCATTTTTGCCCCCATTTTTGCGGTTCAGGCCGCGACCGCTTTGCCAAGTTATGGCAGCAATTAAAAGTTTTGTGCTGAGCACTTGAAAAAAAAAAAACAACAGCAAAAAATGCCAAAACCTACTAACCACCACCCCCAATTTGCCGCCTCTTATATTTGTCTGCAGAGAGAGACAAGACAAAAAGAAAAATCCGTGTAGGCAATGCTAAATTATTCTTTTTTTTTTGTGGTAGTAATTAGCATCCTTTGTTTGTCTATGGAATCTTTTTCGCACGTAATTCCAGGCAGCATGCAAGTTTTTTTATTTGAATTAAAAGGAATTTCTTATATTTTTTTGTTTTTTTAGAATTATATAGTTTTTTTCTTAGTTTAAAATTCCTATAAAATTTATAAATTCTTTATTTAATTTAATAATTATATTATTTTATTTTACTTTATTTTTATTTTAAGAATTTGATAGCTTTTTGTTCGTATAAAATTACTATAAGATTCATGTGTAACTCTTCTTCCACTAAAAATAGACTTTACTTTTTCAAATTTATTTTGAATGTAGATAAATAAAGTTTACGGATTTCTGCTAACATATCCTGATAATATCAAAAAAAAAAAACTATATTTGTTGTGAACTAGATCCTTTTCTTTTTTTTTTATTTATTTACTTATTTAAATTAAGGCTGCGGACCTAGAATCGAAATAACCATTAAATATAAATGCTAAAAGTTCCCAAAAGTATTAAAATTCCCAATTACATATTCAGCGACAAAAAGAAAACATAATAACTAGGCCAAATATTTTTGGAAAGTCAACAAAAGAAATAATATTGAGGTTTCTTGACTGACATATTTTGTTAATAAAGTAAGGTTAAGTAAGGTAGATTAAATTAAAAGGGTCAGCAAATAAATTAAAATTAAATAAAATATAAAAAGTAAATCAGTAACCTAAGAGAAACAATTTTCTGTATTGACAATTTTAATACAATTTTCTGTATCGATAATTTCACAAACCAAAGTTTCCACAAAGCTCAGGTAAAGTGCGAAATGCTACAAAACTCACTCTTTATATTTCTTTCCAATATCCCAATGTATTTTTAATGGGACACACAGGCCAAAATAAGTAAATAATCGAAAGGAAACCGAGGCAACCGAGAGCAGAAATCACCAGCAAATAAATAACAAGCAGCCAGAGAAGTGAAATCGAGAATAACAACAACAACAAGGAGCCGGGCATAAAGCACTTATGCCGTGTTATACTGGCGACAATGCTGCTCCGCTGGCCCCACAAGTACAGTAAACACTCTGTCTGGCACAACTCCAAGTGTGCCGTTGATATTTGAGGGAGGAGGAAAAACCTCTCCACGGAAAATAGGAGAATTTCTTTGGCTTTCGGGGGATTCTTTGGCGCCCGCATTAGTGTCGCCCTATTGGCGGCCATTGTGATGCCATAATTTCTTGGCCCATTTGAGCGGGGCGCAGGTTGTTGCACTTCCTCAAATGGGAAATAGAGAAAAAAAAAAAGGAAAATGGGAAATAGGGAATGAAAACTAGATGGAGGGTGTTAGGGACAGTGTGCTATAAATGGGATGCAAGCGGATGAATGGGAGTGGAAATTGATCGGGCAAGGACGGTGGTGAAGTTCCTAACGAGTTGAATTATTAATTGCGACAAAAGCATTTGGCTTTTTAACAAATTGCTTGGTTGTTTTTAAGGGGGAAAACATGGGTTTTCTTTTTTAAATTTATGTGAGGTATTTATGTTTAATGTTTAGGTTTAGGTGTTTAATGTTTAGGTGAGTTTTAAGTGAGGTTTTTGTTATGTTTTTTGGGAGATAAAAGAGTGATTAGTGAACTATAGTTTATATCAAGTTAAAGTTGCTTTAAAAAAAGTTTAATAAGAAGCTATATAATATCCCTACATCCAAACTCTTTCTTCTCTCACCCTCTTCTTTGCTTTGCCTGCAATGTACAAGCAAAAACTCTTATAAATTTCACTAAAAATGAGTGTTTCTTTTCGTGTTTTTGATTTTTAATCCCTTAACTGGTTTTCAATAATAAAAACACCCCTAAAATTCATTTAATATAAAAAAGCCAATTACCAAATCGCTCTTTCCGCCTGCCTTGGGTCACTGTGCACTTTTGTAAAGACGTCTGGCCAACATCAAGCGGATTACTTCCTGTTGCTTTTCGTTGTGCCATTTTATTCCGACTTGTTCTTTACATTTCTCCTCAAGAGAAAGAATGGACGAGGAGGAGACCAGGCCCCCGCGGCTGTTACTTCGCCTCAGTTGACGACGCTGACGACGACATGAAATTAAAAATTCAAATTATGTAGACCGAGTTCCCGTCTCCGTGCTTTGTGCAACAAACTAAGCCCCCCAGGATTGACCAAGAAAATTGTTTTCTCTCTGTACTTGCAGCATCGCCGAAGAAAAAAAGAAACTGGGCAACGACCAATACAAGGCACAAAACTATCAAAATGCGCTCAAGCTCTACACGGACGCCATATCGCTATGTCCGGACTCTGCGGCCTACTATGGTAATCGGGCTGCTTGCTACATGATGTTGCTCAACTATAACAGCGCCCTAACGGACGCCCGCCATGCCATACGCATCGATCCTGGCTTCGAGAAGGCCTACATACGGGTGGCCAAGTGCTGCCTGGCCCTCGGCGACATCATCGGTACGGAGCAGGCGGTAAAAACAGTGGCGGAGCTCAATTCACAGAGCACAGCTTTGAGCGGGGAGCAGTCGGCAGTGCAGAAGCTGCGACAACTGGAGGCCACCATACAGACCAACTATGATTCAAAGGCATATCGTAATGTGGTCTTCTACCTGGACAGTGCCTTGAAAATGGCACCAGCCTGCTTGAGGTGAGTAACTAAGCTTGATTCAGAGATTATTATCAATGATATTTTCCCTCTCTCTTTTAGATATCGCCTTCTAAAAGCCGAGTGCCTTGCCTTTTTGGGACGCTGCGACGAGGCCTTAGACATTGCTGTGGGCGTTATGAAGCTGGACACCACCTCGGCGGATGCCATCTATGTGAGAGGACTGTGCCTGTACTATACCGACAACCTAGACAAGGGCATTCTGCATTTCGAGCGCGCTTTGACCCTCGATCCCGACCACTACAAGTCCAAGCAAATGCGCAGCAAGTGCAAGCAGCTCAAGGAGATGAAGGAGAATGGCAATATGCTTTTCAAATCTGGTCGCTATCGCGAAGCCCATGTCATCTACACGGACGCCTTGAAGATCGATGAGCATAACAAGGATATTAACTCGAAGCTGCTGTATAATCGCGCCCTGGTCAATACCCGCATAGGTAGCTTGCGCGAAGCAGTAACCGATTGCAATCGAGTGTTGGAGCTGAATAGCCAGTATCTGAAGGCTCTGCTGTTACGTGCCCGCTGCTATAACGATCTGGAGAAGTTCGAGGAGGCGGTGGCCGACTATGAGACGGCGCTGCAGCTGGAGAAGACGCCAGAGATTAAGCGGCTGTTGCGCGAGGCCAAGTTTGCGTTGAAAAAGTCGAAACGAAAGGATTACTACAAGATTCTGGGCATCGGGCGCAATGCCAGCGATGATGAGATCAAGAAGGCGTATCGCAAGAAGGCCCTGGTTCATCATCCCGATAGGCATGCGAACAGCAGTGCCGAGGAGCGCAAGGAGGAGGAGCTCAAGTTCAAGGAGGTGGGCGAGGCGTATGCCATACTCTCCGATGCACGCAAGAAGGCGCGTTACGACAGTGGGCAGGATATTGAGGAGCAAGAGCAAGGTAAGGGGGGAGTCCCTGTATAAATACAGTTTGTAAAGCACTGAGTTAGTTTTACCTGCTTGAGTCAAGTAAAATGTAGAAATACATTACACAATGTTGTTGTAAAACTGTAGACATTTTTATAGAATTTTAACAATATATTTAATGTCTAATTTAAATTCTATATTTCATATTAATTTCTACAATTTCTTATTCTTTCAGCTGACTTTGATCCGAATCAAATGTTCCGCTCCTTCTTCCAATTCAATGGCAACGCTGGCGGCGGCGGTCGCAACAATTCCTTCAACTTTGAGTTCTAAGAGATCCTGCTGCCTGTGTTCGTTCGTTCAGAGGAGACGACAACTCCCTCCCAAAATAAATCTGCCTCATCCGGAAGCCAACAACGCTGCGCACAAAAATTTCACATCTTCTTGCAGTTTTCCTCTTTTTTTTTTCATACGAAAAAAATTTCATTTTGATTTTATATACATTTTGGTTGGAAAAGAAAAACAAAGAAAAACGTGTATAACGAAAATTACTAGATCAAAAATCAAACGGAAAATTTTCAGTGTATTTTCACATTTTAAATGTTTTGCTTTTAAATCATTTCGGTGGCATTAAATCAAACCTAATAAATTTTTGAAAATATGTGAAGAGAAAAATAAAAACATGTATGTCAAGTTTGCTATATATCCAGAGTCCTTGTTCGATCCGCCGACCGCGCAAGTCTAGCGTCTGTGCTTGCGTTCACGTTATATAGAGGAGTAACTGATTAATTAATGATTAAAAAAAACAAATCGTAGCCTTATTGTATAACCAATTTAATTTGTACACATTAAGCCAGGCACTTAAGTTACGTTTCTAAGTTAAAAAAAAAAACAAACACAAAGAGAAAAAGAATTATGCTAAAAACAAACACACAAATCAATCAAACCAATAACTTAAATTATTTAGTTATTATTTTGTGTAATTATAGAATGAAGTGAATTATATGTGAAGTGAAAATATTAAGTAAAAATAGAAAAAACAAGGAAACTATTGTATTTTGGGGAGATAAATTCTTAATTTCTAAAAGAATTTTGATTTTACATGACTTTAAGGTGAAGCGACATCTAGCGGAATTCTTGGGGAAAAGATGCAGTGTACTTTTCGGGGTTCAAGGTAAAATACATGTAAAATCTTAAAAATTGTACATGAGCACAGTTTGGGAGGTACTGCAGGAGCTACACATCACTTTTAGATGTATTGAAGTAGAGGTAATGCATTTTAAAACAGTTGTAGAAGCACAATAACAACTGATCTTGGGCTGAACCTATTGTAGTTGCTCTCAAACTATGGCAAACCTTAAGCAATCATTTTAAAACTGTGCCCAGCCTCAAGAAATGCTTTTAAAACGGTGGCTAATTTCTTAAAAATCTTAAATGCAGTTTAAAAAGTACCAAAGTACAGGTAATAAATTTATATTTAGTTGCAGAAGCTTAGTGATAACTGATTTTAGGCTTCAAGCCGAACAAACCTGTTATAGTTCCTCTCAAACTATGATGATCCTTAAGAAACGGCTTGAAAAACTGTGCCTAGCTTCAAGAAATTCCTTTAAAATGGAGCCTAATTTCTTAAATAAAATATAAATGTAAAAAAAACCTAACTGACCCAATTACCAGACCAGAAAAAAAACAAGGCCAATGCCATTTACAATGCTTGTCAGACAAATAGGTACACACATTTATTAATTTTTTTTTTTAGCTGCTGTTTAAACATTCATAAAAAACGAATTTCGGCTTACGCTCCCTTCCATACGCACACTCTCTCTCTCTCTCTCTCTCTAGTCACATCACCCAATTCTTGCTAATTTTACAGACAATTAATTTATACATACACACACGCATAATTTTCCATTAAATATATATATATTTCTTTACACTTGACTATTGTGTTTCGGTTTTTGGACATTTTGTTGTTGTTTGTTTTGTATTTTTTCTAGGCTAAAAGGTAAAAACTAACGGCTAAAAAACGCAGCAGCCAACAGCAAAAAGCCGAGCTGTCTCTCCTCTCTCTCTCGTTTTATGTGACTAACTAATTTGCCCATATTTTTTATTACATATATATTTATATATGTATATATATATTCAATATAAATTAATTCAATATTTCTGTGTTTTTTTTTTGCTCTGCTTTGCTTTGCATATATTTATAAAAATAAAAGCTACTTAAATATTATGCAAAAATCATCATTAGGACCTAAATAAAAAGTAAACACAAAAAATATACAATGTTTTGTTTTAGCTTTTGTTGTAGTTGGTTTTTTGTTTTTTGTTTCTTTAACGAACTAGTGACGACAGTATCAGTATTTTGTATAATATTTGCTTTGCTTTGTTTTGTTTTTGCTTTGTTGGTTGGTTGGTTTCAGTTGTTGTTGGGTTTGGATTTGGTTGGACTTTTCGACGACCAGACTTAAGTGACTAAGAAAACATTTCTGTTTCAAAATAAGGTACAATGATATATATATATATATTTGTATCCATTTTTACATATATATATAGAAAACATATAGGTTTTGCACAATTGCCTTTCCCCCGCAACTCCCATTTATCTTTCTAGGGGAACTTCGAGTTTACAGTAATGCCCAACATTTTTGGAGCTTGACTTTTTAGCAGCCGCTTTTTCCTTGTCTTTACAATAGTGTTTTTTTTTCTCTCTATTTTATTATATATTTTGTATAGGAGCGAGGTCTATATATATATATATATTTATATAGAGCTGGAACAATCAGCAATCAGATAACGCCTAGAAGTGGACGATCGATCTCTACCCCCAATAAAACGAATCTTCTAATTAGAATCTATCTAAAACATGGCAAATGCTTTGCTCTCTATTGTTCTATTTCTCGGTAGTAGTACGTATTGTGTGTATTTTTTATATAAGTAATACTGAGATTCTGCTAGTTAGATGTCTCAGGACCCAGACCCAGTCTAACCCTATCTATGTATCTATGTATCTATGTATTTTAATGTACTTTAATATTGAAGTTGTGGACAAAAACGAAACTCTGTTTGTTTATGCAGAATAGAAAGTAACTTTGGTTTATGTTCTTGTTGTTGCTTCTTGAATATTTTATATATTGGGAGAGAGATGCTGAGATGGAAGAAAGTATAAGTTAATCCAAAAGAATTCTTTGAACTGGAAGATACAATTCTCTGTACTTATAGTTGCTTTTATTCGAGAATTGAATCTTGGTGAAAAAAAGCTTTAAAATCTGTTTCTTTTTTTCAAATAAGATTTTAAATCAAAAAGCATGCTATACTTTAGAAAAGCAAATTTCGTTTTTATTGCCTACTTTTAGGGGCTTTTAAAATAGATTTAAGTTCTCAAACAAGTTCTTAAGCATTCCTGTTTTTATTTCAAATTCTTTCAAGTCACATCTAGTCATCTCTCTCCTCCTTTCTCCAGCTCTCTCATATATGTTTGTAAGTACCATTTCTCCAACCTTTCTCCATCTTCTACTCCTCCCCATTTCTCCGCCTAAGTAACACTGCCTCCCCTTTTTCTGCCAAGCTTTGTACAAAATGGTGACCCCGGTGGATTCCTGGCCAAAAAAACTAAAAATAAGTTGTACTCTGTGTTTTTTTTTTCTGTATTGGTTTCTGTTCTCTTTTTTTCTCTCTGTGTATTGACTATTTTCAAATGGAATTGCGTCGCCTTCATTTGCCATGCTGTGCGGCCAGCCGGATTTTGCTTAAACCCACACCGAAGCCCAAGCCAAGTCCTGTTCCCATACCCATTCTCATTCCCATTGCCATTCCCGCACCCGATGTAGTCGTCGTCGTCCACTTTTTGAGGCGCCACTGTCACTTGGGCTGGATCCTGGCCGAGCGTTCCAGCTCATTGAATTGCCCGTAGTAGAGCACCTCGCTGATCAGCTTCTCGGCAATGATACGCTGTGTGCGATCCATGGTCCGCAGCTTGAGGGACACATTCGATCCTATAAAGTCGCAGTCGTCCCGATTTAGGGACTCGGCATAGAAGGCGGAGGCGGCCACGGCCGCTTGGGCGGAAACACTGCTCTTGATATGCCCCGGACTGGCGGCCGATTCCGTGGCCTCATCATTATCCGGATCCGGTTCCTCGCCATCGGACATGCTCTCCCTGGAGCCGAGCAGGGAGCTCATTAGCATATGACCCGCCGCCGCAGCCGCACTGGAGGCATTGGTTAGTTTACGCATATTCAACGGCATAACAACGGCGGGTGTTTGACTGGCATCGCCGCTATTCTGCGGCGGCAGGACAAAGGAACCAAAGTTGGCCTTGGCCTGGGCCACCCTCAGGTCCTGGGCCATATCCACCAGCTGCAGGCGGCTCTCCTCGCCCGCCGAACTGTACGAGCGATGGGATTCGGGTGGCGGTGGCGGGGCTACGCCAGTTGCCTGGCCATGAAAATAGTCCACCAGCTCCTGCTTGATGTCCAGCTCATCGTGGCCATGGGCATGGAGCTGCTGCGTGACATGTTGCTGCTGTTGCTGCTGCTGCTGCTGCTGGAGGTGGTGCGTGTGTGGATGATGATGCAGCTGCTCGTGCGCTTGCCTTGGCGTGGCTGCTCTTCCGGGACCGGCGGGACTGTTAAGCAGGTGATTCTTGTGCGCCTCGTGCATGTTGGTGTTCGGTATGGGGCTGCTACCAGCTTCGCTGAGAGTCCTTTCGGAGCGCAAAGGATCGCTGGGCTGATCGTTGGCCTCTCGACTGCTGGAACCACCACCTCCTCCTCCAATCACACTACCTCCGCCGCCAGGTCCTGAACCGGGACCACCGCTAGCCGGTGATCGTCGCTCCACCTTGGCCGCCAGTTGCCCCAAGGCCGCTGCCGCCGCCACATCCTCCTTGGTGTTATTGTTGTCCTCATTGTCCGATGTGTCCATCGTTTTCAGCGGACTCTGCTGGAAATCGCTGGAGCTGCTGCCACCTCCTCCTCCTCCTCCGCCTCCACCCCCAACGCCATGATAGCTCATGGGCAGGGGCACACGCAGCTGCTGGGGCGGGGGTCCACTTCCTCCGCGGTCGGATCCACCGCCGCCGGAACCCGATATCGGAGGCGAATACTGACCCGCCGTATTCCAGCTGTCCAACGTCTGGCTACTAGCTATCAGCATGGGGATATTGAGGCCCATCTGGAAGAACAGAACAGAACGAGACCGAAAAAAGGTTAGCGATAAGGCGATTTTCTGGCGAGGAATAAAGTGTCGTCGGTGTCGCTGGCCAAAGGTCCCTTCAACTATCGGCCGACTCTTCGTCATCGTGACGCAGTCGAAAAAGATTGACCCATCGAGATAACGCCGGCTACTTGAGAACTTATATAGTGTCCATAAAGTTTGTGGAGAAAAACCATTAATTAAGAGCTTGGTTCTTGGGTTAAAAAGTGCACATATTTTATGAGCTTTTGCTTTGGTCTTAATAATTTTTTTATTAAAGGTTATTTGAATAAAAATATTTGGTATAAAAAGAGTAATTGTGATAAATAATAATATTTTTAAATATTTAAATTATGTTTTTAATAAAACATTCAAGTTTATAGCACCAAAAACCTCTTTAACTAAGATCGTAAGCTATCCTGCACTGGCTTGTGTATATTTAAATTATATTTAAACTTTATTTTATATCTAAATAGTTCTCCAAACTAATATAGATCACTTTCAAATAGACCCTTCCTATTACCGCAATATAGGCACAGATTTGTTTATCTTTTACGTCCTTATCTCTTATCGAAGAAGAGTCTGTTTATAGACCCGATAGCAATGCCAAACCGGTTTCATAAGTGTGAAACTAATAAATTCTTGAGATAGGAATGAAATTAGATTTTAAGAACTATATAGTAATGATGACTATTTAAGAGAATTTAACTAATCATGTTGACTTGAAATATATTGAGGTCTCGTGTTAGATTTTTGGGACAATCATGAAGGGTAAGCATTCGACTTATTGTGATAAGATATTAGTGATTGAAATAGAGAATTTATTAAATTTAATGTTTTATAATACCACCTGCACTACATTTAAACAAAAAAAGATCTAAAAAAAATATTAATTAAGATTTATTTAAATTAAAGTAATTCCATAAGTCCTCTTTTTAATTAGTAATTAGTAAATAATAAATTATTTAATAATACTTCTGGAAATTGTATTATTTTGAGATACTTTTAAAAAATAATACTTTCTTAAAGAATATTTGTATTAATAAAACAAGAAAGGAAGCTAACTTCGGCACGCCGAAGTTTGTATACCCTTGCAGATTGGTTTCGATGTTTATATTATAGATTTAAATGCTGAAAACACTCACAAAACAGAGTTTCATTACATTTTACTTATACTTATTATGTCTACAGTTACAGTTTTACATTCCCAGTTTTACATTTTCTCTACATCTACCGATCGGTTTATATGGCAGCTATATGATATAGTTGTCCGATTTTTATGAAATTTATTCAATAATTCTAGAATAATAAAAAAAACTTATATCTCAGAGTAGATAAACATACGTTGAAAAACAACGAAACTATAATTTTTTTTCCTATTTATTTCTCGACCGTTCCTATGGCAGCTATATCATATAGTCGTCCGATTTTCATAAAATTTTAACCAAAATTCTGAAATAATATAAAATAGCCATAACTAAAAAATGGTGCAAAAATGTTGAAAAACAGCAAAGTTATAATTTTTTTCTACAAATATATCGAACATTTGTATGGCAGCTATATGATATAGTCGTCCGATCCGGCCTGTTCCGACATATATAGCAGTGAAAGCATATAGAAGACTATATGCAAAGTTTCATTCAGATAGCTTTAAAACTGAGGGACTAGTTTGCGTAGAAACAGACAGACGGACAGACAGACAGACAGACAGACAGACAGACAGACAGACGGACAGACGGACATGGTTAGATCGACTCGGCTGTTGATGCTGATCAAGAATATATATACTTTATAGGGTCGGAAACGTCTCCTTCACTGCGTTGCAAACTTCTGACTGAAATTATAATACCCTGCAAGGGTATAAAAAAACGCCAGCAGTAATCAACTTTTAATAATTCCTTAATTTTAAATCTCTTTCAAATAAAAATATGTCACTCAATTAAGCAATTTTATTTATGTGTAAATTTTATAATTATCAGAATTATAAAGCTAACTTTGTTTATATCTTAAACTGGAATTATTATAATTCTAGTCTGGGATCCCCAGAGAAATGTATAAATTTATGTTTTTACTTTTTGCAAACGACGCATTCCAATGCCGGTCAAACCCCCTGCGAAAGTTGTTTTGCTTTTTGTTTTCTTCAAAAATTGTTAAAGTAAATGCAGAACATAAATTTAAAAGCCTGAAAGCCGAGAAGAGTGACCAAATTATGGTAATATTTGGTAAATAAATAATAATTTCGACTTTTTGAATGGTCAAGCTCAAATCGTGTTATTGTTTTTTGTTGTTTTTCCTTTTTTTTATATGGCAAACACACGAAGCGATCAAAACAAATTAGCAGACACACGCACGCACACACAACAATAACACAGATACACACACACACACACAGACAGGTGGCAAAGTGCGCGAACTTTCCAAACAAACCCCCCTATCTCCACCTGCCCCTTTAACCCGCAATGACAGCCGCAAAATAAAATGAGACAAAAAAGCAACTTACGTTTGATGTGTTTGTCAATGCCGTTTGCTCAACGGGAATTCTACGATGAATCCCCGGGGATCGCAAACTATTACTATTATTATTGTAATGCATTTTTTGTATTTTTTAGTAATCAACAAAAAAAAAAAATTAATAACTTTTTTTTGATGTGTGTGCGAAAGCTACGACAACGCGACTCGGAACTCGTAATATTTTTGACCGAAATTATTCTAGCGACGTAGTAAAAATTTTCGAACAGCCGAATGGAGGAGAGCGAGAGAGAAAAAAGCTACGATTTTAAGAGAACTTAAAATATGCTCCAACTTTTAAGAGAATTCGGTTTATTGGATCATCAAAGTGTGGGTGAGTCACAAAGAGACAAGTGATAGAGCGGCAATTAACGGTGTTTTTGATATGATATTTGACATGTTATATATTAGTTTCTTTTTCTAATTTAAATTTAATTTATTGAAACTAACAAACATACATATTTGGTTTTCCGAATTGTTTCAAAGTTGTAAATGCTTTTAATTAACAGAAAATGAGTATTTTATACAATATTTAATGGCAAATCTTTCTTAACTTTTAATTAAAATATTTAAACAGCCTGTTAACTGGATTTTTTTACGAAATATTAGGTTTCATGTGCTGTAAAAGATTACAGATCTCGTAATAAAAAGTTGCTTAAATTTAATATTAGCACTTGTGTTTTTTTTAGCAACCATAAAAAACGCTGATTGAAACTGGCTATTACATCATCCCTAAATCTAGTAAAACGCACCGAACCCAAAATAAACATATTCAATATCAATATCCCCCCAACTTGTTTGTTGTTATTTTTTTTTTTGCGAAATCTTTTGCAAATGTCAGCATTAGTTAGCAGAGAGTTTGTCAGCCGAAAGAGAACAACCTGCTTAGAATTATTTTTCTTGAAAGAACCAGAAGAAAGAGAAATGGGCAGAGCAAGGGAATGTTTTGAGAGAGGTCTAGGAGAGGGCTTTTAATGGTCAGGCGCCGACAACGACAACGACGGCATTAGCATTAACCTACCCCACGTTTGGGGCCAACAACAACGGCAATAAAGTGTTTAATGGTCAAAACGGCGATCAAAGCAGGCGCTCGTTCTCTCTCTCCTTCTCTGTCTACCCTGCTAGCCCCCGCTCTGTCTGCGTCGATCTCTTTGATTTCGCCTCCCCTCCTTTTTATTGTCTGTCTCCATTGTGGCGCCTAGAACTTTCCATCAAAAAAGACAGTGACAAAGAGACTGAGAAAAAGTAAGAAAAACAGATTTTTTTTAGTAAACCCAAAATATATATGTATGTACTTTCTCTTATAATTACTTTACATAACTGATTTTTCATTAATTAGTTTATCTTCTCCTTCCTTAAACTTTCATAATTTTCCTCTAAATTAATTTTTTAAAATCAACAATTTAAATGGAAATGTTGCTTATTGGGGCATTCCCCGAAAATAAGAGTTCAACCTGCACTGTTTATTTGTTGTTATTGTTGTTACTGCATTTGCTGCTGTTTTTAAGTTTCCTCAACTGCGAACACCACCCTCCCCCTCCCCCACGGTTGCTATTATTATTGTTGTTGCAGCTGCTTTTGTTGTTTACGCATTCAGAGCAGAATATGTGAGTGTGTGTGTGCGAGTGTGTGCCCGTTGTGTGCGTGTTTGCATGTCTGTATTATTATTTTGTTAAAGCAAATAAAATAAAACAGACAAGAGAATGAACTCGCTAGCTCTTCCTCTCTCTCCCACTCTCCACGTGTGTGTGTGTGCCTGTATGTGTGCAACTGAAAAATGTAAACAAACTGATTATCATCCAATCCAATGAATAAATAACACACAACACAAACTACGCGTCGTCGTCGTCGCTGTTTCTACTCCTTTGGCACGAAATGCGCTCCCCTCTCTGTACCTCTCCGCGTGCCTCCTTCTCCTTCTACCTTTTCTCTTCGTCCGCCCTCTTTCTTCTCCAACCCCTCTTACCGCACCTATCTCCTTGTCGCCCCATTCACAATTGTCGCGGGCTCCCTCTGTCCAAATCTACAGTGGAACTTGCCTAACACAACTCCTTTGCTTAGGATTAAATATTTTATGATAAAAACCAAATCATATAAAAATCAATGATCTTAAAAGTTGAAAAATCAAATTATGAAATTTATCTTTCAGATATTTAAGATATAGAAACTCCACTGTATCCATCTGCTGCGCACGCAAATGTTTTTGAAGTACGATGGCGATATTTTCGCAAAAGCAAAAGCGCATACACCGCAGCGGCGGCGGCGGCAGCAACAACAACAACTTACTCCAAATACGGCAAGTAACTGCTACACTAACATTAATGAAACTGCCATGAAAACCGCAAGCGCAAGCGCCGCACACAAAAGCCCCAAATACCCCTCTCGCAATCCGCCACCTTCGCCGCTGCCCCCCTACTCTCTAAAATAGGGGGGGCGGGGGATTTACACTGGTCATGGGGAGTCGTAAAATT